ACCTACAAATGGTTGTCGAAGAACCAATGCTTCCATGCAGTTATCATTGAAAGAGTAATATCTGTGGTTCTTAAACTTTGGTCCTCCAAACATTTGGGATACAATTACCAGAATTCCTGAGTGTTGTCCACACTGTCTGGGAGTTCTGGGAACTGAAGTCCAAAGTAGACAATCTTTCTGTTTCCAGGCTTGGCTGTTTCTTGCAATTTCCCCTCAAAAGCTTTAACCTTTTGGACCTCTCTTTCATGGATGCATCAAAATGGTGCTCATTTCAGCTTTCTGTGTCTGAAGTTGTGGTTATATTGGGTTTTGTTTGTGTTCTTAGTATATACGAGGTATCTCTATATTTTTAGGTGAGTGACCACTTTATAGATACTGTATGAGCTCATGCCAGAGAGTTATGCTATTCAACATAAATAATAGATGGGATTTATAGTATTATTTACAGCAGAGAACTATTTTTAAAAAACAATATTTAAACAAGTTAAATTGTCTTCTTTGTTCCTGTTATGCAAGTAGATGTTACTTGGGGACTGACACCCCTCCTCTCACCAGGCAAAAATGATTGACAAGAGTCCTGAAGGATGTGCTGTGAATGCATGCAAACAGCATATTAAAACGTTCCTCAAGTTAAATATTTATCACATGCCTATTCTTTTTGCAAGGGCTACATTCCACCCTACAGATTTTATAACATTAGCCTGCCTGAGCTGAGTGTGAAGAGCAGCTGAATTTGTTAATGAGGAGTTTAAAATTGGCATCTCTTAACTGGATTGAATCTAAATTGTGGAACCCTTTATCCCAGAAGGCTTGGTCAGCCTCACTGTTTTAAAGAGATTTGCCAAATGGTAAAACCTTCTGGTCTAGGCAGACATTTGCACTGTTTTAGCTGCTATCCCTACCTCTGTCTCTCTGTCTACCTATGGACACATCTACACTGACCACTTAAGTCAATTTCAAACCAGTATTGAAGAAAGTGGTTTTGCTGTGCAGATGATGATATAGGAAATCCTGGAACCAGTTTGAGGCTCAGATGGTGATTACAGAAACCCCAAGGCACTGATGCACATTTAGGGATTTCTTTCGTGTGCTGCTGTCCAGCTGTTGCAATTTGAAGATGACTTCGAACTACATTAAACCGTCAGTGTAGATTGGGTCTATCTGTCTATCTATCTACCTGCCTGCCCTCCTTGACATATTACTGTTTGTTTTAATAGCTGTTGTCCATAGGAATATAAGAATATAACATAAAGATGCGAGAGCTGGACCATAAGGAAAGCTGAGAGAAGGAAGATAGATGCTTTTGAACTGTGGTGTTGGAGGAACATTTTGAGAGTGCCTTGGACCACAAGAAGATCAAACCAGTCCATACTCCAGGAAATAGTGCCTGCCTGCTCACTGGAGGGAAGGATATTAGAGGCCAAAAAAGAAGTACTTTGGCCACATAATGAGAAATCAGGGAAGCTTGGAGAAGATAATAATGCTGGGGAAAATGGAAGGAAAAAGGAAGAGGGGCCGACCAAGGGCAATATGGATGGTTGGTATCCTTGAAGTGACTGGCTTGATCCTGAAGGAGCTGGGGGTGGCCACAGCTGACAGGGAGCTCTGGCGTGGGCTGGTCCATGAGGTCACAAAGAGTTGGAAACAACTGAACGAATAAACAACAACATCCATAAGAAAATAACAACTACCCATGCTTGAATATTTTTCTTGCAATTTCACATCTTATTACAGAAAAATAAAAGCTGCATTTAATGGACAGTTCAAACAGTGCTTAAGAGCGGTGCCCAAAGACAGCCCAGATTACAGCAGCAGCTGGCAAAGCAGACTATCTGCTAACTACTGACTGCCACTCTAGGAAACCGAGAATTCTTATTCCTATTATAAAGATGCTAGTAAAAGCAGGAGGTTTCTCCATTTATACAGTGCTGATTGGGAAGCCGTCCCCTGAATATGAGCTACAACTGTCGGGAGGGAGCTAAATTATCAGCAACCATACAGAACATGATGCTGACTGAGCCACCTCTTGCTTTCAGGACAATCTCTGCTGATTTCTCCATAAAAGTTGCAATCCCCCACATGACTCTCCTGTAGAGGTAGCTTGCAATCTACTACCGAGTTTATATCAGAGCTAAACATATTCTAAGAAAACAATGTCAAGGAAAATACTTATTGATTTGTTTATTCAGTTTATATCCTGCCTTCCTCCTTGTGCAGGACCCAAGCTGCCCTATAGCATCAAAAAAAAGTTATAATGAAAACGTGATGTAAAAAGAATTAAATAACAGTACAGTTGCCAGATGTACAAGCTGGGTTTAGAAAAAGCAGAGGAACGAGAGACCAAATTGCCAATATCCGCTGGATAATGGAGAAAGACAGGGAGTTTCAGAAAAACATCTATTTCTGTTTTATTGACTATTCCAAAACCTTTGACTGTGTGGATAATAAATTGTGGCAAGTTCTTGGTGGGATGGGCATACCAAATCACCTTATCTCTCTTCTTAGGAATCTGTATAAGGACCAAGTAGCAATAGTAAGAACTGACCATGGAAAAACAGACTGGTTCAAGATTGGAAAAGGTGTACGGCAGGGTTGTATACTCTCACCCAACCAATTCAACTTGTATGCAGAACACATCATGCGATGTGCAGGGCTTGAGGAATGCAAGGCTGGGGTGAAAATTGCTGGAAGAAACATTAACAACCTTAGATATGCAGATGATACCACTTTGATGGCTGAAAGCGAGGAGGAGCTGAGGAACCTTCTAATCAAGGTGAAAGAAGAAAGCGCAAAAGCTGGGTTGCAGTTAAACATTAAAAAAACCAAGATTATGGCAACAAGAATGATTGAGAATTGGGAGACAGAGGGAGAAAACGTGGAGGCAGTGACAGACTTTGTATTTCTAGGTGCAAAGATCACTGCAGATGCAGACTGCAGCCAGGAAATCAGGAGACGCTTACTTCTTGGGAGGAGAGCAATGACCAATCTCGATAAAATAGTGAAGAGTAGAGACATCACACTGACAACGAAGATCCACATAGTTAAAGCAATGGTATTCCCCATCGTCACCTACGGATGTGAGAGCTGGACCATAGGGAAGGCTGAGCGAAGAAAGATAGATGCTTTTGAACTGTGGTGTTGGAGGAAAATTCTGAGAGTTCCAGTCCATACTTCAGGAAATAAAGCCCGATTGCTCATTGGAGGGAAGGATATTATAGGCAAAGATGAAGTACTTTGGCCACATCATGAGAAGAAAGGAAAGCTTAGAGAAGACAATGATGCTGGGGGAAAATGGAAGGAAAAAGTAAGAGAGGCCGACCGAGGGCAAGATGGGTGGATGACGTCCTTGAAGTGACTAGATTGACCTTGAAGGAGCTGGGGGTGGTGACGGCCAACAGGGAGCTCTGGTGTGGGTTGTTCCATGAGGTCACAAAGAGTAGGAAACGACTGAACAATTGAACAACAACAAACAGTAACATCATTCACTGAAATTGCTTGCACATATATGTGCTCTGCAAAGAGATGTTGTGCCCTCAACCAGTGGTTAATGGCTCATGAATAACATAAAATAGGGCAAGAAAAAACTGCAAATGCACTGGAGCAATTTTTAAAAATTCGAAACTCTCTCAAACTGCTGAAGATATAGAATGACAACAATAAAGCATTCAGTATGATCACAATAGGAAATCTGACCCAAGAGCACACAAAGGATACCTAAACAAACAGTTCTTTTCAAAAAGTAGTTGTGCTTTCAGTAGATAATGAACTGAACATGACAAAATGTGATGCTGCAATGCAAAAGCCCAATCCTATTTGTACTTGTAGTTTTATAACAGAAGACAGATTTCCTGTATTCTGTACCTCTGTGACAATTCCTTCTCCTCCGGCCACTAGCTATAGCTATTCAACTTTAAGTGAACTTTAAGAGCCCTTGGTGACGCAATGGGTTAAACCCTCGTTCCAGCAGGACTGCCGACCAAAAGGCTAGTGGTTCAAATCCGGGCAGCGGGGTGAGCTCCCATCTATCAGCTCCAGCTCCTCAAGCGGTGACATGAGAGAAACCTCACACAAGGGTGGTAAAACATTAAACATCTGGGCATCCCTATGGCAAAATCCTTTCAGGTGTCCAATTCTCTCACACCAGAAGCAACTTCAATTTTTTCAAGTCGCTCCTCAAACAAAACAAAAAAACTTTGTGACATTTTTCACCTTGTGCAACAATCACATTTACCTTCCAGCTTTTCTGACATAGGCACTGCTATGTTGCATCTGTGTTTCTGATCTTAGTCTGAATCTCTAGGGGTTCCTGCCAGAGTTTGTCTATAGAGAGAAAAGGAACTATACGAAGGTAACTTAACAGCTCCTGACACGCGCGGGGGGGGGGGGGGGTAGCTTTCTTTCTTCATCACAGCCTCCATCTTGCAAAATAGCTGTGTTTGGACAGGCAATGGCTGGAACCTCAACGATCCACACACAAAAGTGACAGTCCAACCAGGCCAATTTTTTGGATTTCCCCCCCTTTCCTCCCACCATCATGCTTGATGAAGAGTTCTGGAAAAAGCTGAAAACTTGCCATGTTTGTTATTTTTAGTGATGCATTCGAGGATTACATGAAGAAGAAAAAGCCTAACCTACAAAGGTCACCCAGGACAAGCTACAAACACTAATATGGAAAAGTTGGAAGGAAATCTTCCACCTCTTGTGTAAATGCACAGCCCACAGAAGTCAATGAGCTCCTTCTGACTTTCACAGACTTTGGATCCAAGTTAGTGACACCCTATGACTTCAGTTTCCAGATAGTAAAGAGAAGTCATGAAAAGAATGAGAAATTCCAGCTCTGCAGACATACAAGATGTAAGACATTCAAATAAGGTAAGTCACTTACCTGCAAAGTATATAGATATAAATTTGCCAGTCAGTAGAGAGTATGTCATGAACCCATATCGCTAGAACTCATGTAAATATTAGGTCAGTTAAACTAAAACAAACAAGACTCTTACTTGTCTTCTTGACTATGGTCCTCCTGGTCGCTGAGTTCATCATCATCTACCAGATGCCCAAAAGGTTCAGAAGAAATGGAAACCATATTGGAAAGGATGACTCTGCTGTCACTGCTGCCCGTAAGCACAAGTTGGTCATGGGAATGGTTGTAGCGGACGTTCCAAACCCTGAAAAATACCAACACAGCCACAACAATCAGCCCTTAGCTGAAAATAGTCATGTAAGAGAGATTTCAAGATGGTTCTATCATAAAACACAGAAAAGGTTTATTAAACTGCAAAAACCTGGTTTTTGCGGGACATCCTGCAGCACATTTTGCTACAGTTTTTTTCAAGGAGTATCTTACAGAGACTCAACCAATTAAACGTAGTTTGTGGCAGCCCCAAAAATGAAGTTTCTGGAGTATAACAACTACTTCCAAAGTAAGCACTGCACAATTAAATAGGAAATAACACTTTCAAACCAGGAACAGTTTTTTTTTAAATAGACAGCCTGTCACAGGATTACCTTAATTCAGTGGTTCTCAACCTGTGGGTCCCCAGATGTTTTGGCTTTCAACTCCCAGAAATCCTAAGAGCTTGTAAACTGGCTGGGATTTCTGGGAGTTGTAGGCCAAAACACCTGGGGACCCACAGGTTAAGAACCACTGCTTAACTACTTTCCCAGACAGTAGATTTCAATGAACTACTTGTGTTCAGTCTCTAACAGCATAAAAAGGAAGAGGGGAGGGAAAATAAGAACGAATGTAGCAAACTGTTTTTTTATTTTAATATGAACTTTTGTGGAAGTAAACCAGAGCCCGAAGAGTAATTCTTCAGGCTCTGCACTGCATCTGCAAAAGTACCTTGGGTTTATATCTACTAAAGCTCATACAACCAGTTCATTGTAAAAGTGATGTTTGTTGTTGTTGTTGTTCATTCATTCAGTCGTCTCCGACTCTTCGTGACCTCATGGACCAGCCCACGCCAGAGCTCCCTGTCAGCCGTCACCACCCCCAGCTCCCTCAAGGTCAGTCCAGTCACTTCAAGGATGCCATCCATCCATCTTGCCCTTGGTCGGCCCCTCTTCCTTTTGCCTTCCACTTTCCCCAGCATAATTGTCTTCTCTAGGCTTTCCTGTCTCCTCATGATGTGGCCATAGTACTTCAACTTTGTCTCTAGTATCTTTCCCTCCAATGAGCAGTCGGGCTTTATTTCCTGGAGGATGGACTGGTTGGATCTTCTCGCAGTCCAAGGCACTCTCAGAACTTTCCTCCAACACCACAGTTCAAAAGCATCTTATCTTCCTTCGCTCGGCCTTCCCTATGGTCCAGCTCTCACATCCGTAGGAAACAACGGGGAATACCATTGCTTTGACTATGCGGATCTTTGTTGCCAGTGTGATGTCTCTACTCTTTACTATTTTATCGAGATTGGACATTGCTCTCCTCCCAAGAAGTAAGCGTCTTCTGATTTCCTGGCTACAGTCTGCATCTGCAGTAATCTTTGCACCTAGAAATACAAAGTCTGTCACGGCCTCCACGGTTTCTCCCTCTATTTCCCAGTTGTCAATCATTCTTGTTGCCATAATCTTGGTTTTTTTGCCGTTTAGCTGCAACCCGGCTTTTGCGCTTTCTTCTTTCACCTTGATTAGAAGGCTCCTCAGCTCCTCCTCGCTTTCGGCCATCAGAGTGGTGTCATCTGCATATCTGAGGTTGTTAATGTTTCTTCCAGCAATTTTCACCCCAGCTTTGCATTCATCCAGCCCCGCACATAGATGATGTGTTCTGCATACAAGTTAAAAAGGTTGGGTGAGAGGATGCAGCCTTGCCGTACGCCTTTCCCAATCTTGAACCAGTCTGTTGTTCCGTGGTCAGCTCTGACTGTTGCTACTTGGTCCTTGTACAGATTCCTCAGGAGAGAGACAAGGTGGCTTGGGATGCCCATCCCACTAAGAACTTGCCACAATTTATTATGATCCACACAGTCAAAGGCTTTAGAATAGTCAATGAAGCAGAAGTAGATGTTTTTCTGAAACTCCCTGCCTTTCTCCATTATCCAGCGGATATTGGCAATCTGGTCTCTCGTTCCTCTGCCTTTTCTTAACCCAGCTTGAACATCTGGCAACTCTCGCTCCATGTATTGCTGGAGTCTTCCTTGCAGGATCTTGAGCATTACCTTACTGGCATGAGAAATAAGGGCCACTGTACGGAAGTTTGAGCAGTCTTTCGCATTTCCCTTTTTTGGTATGGGGATATAAGTTGATTTTTTCCAGTCTGATGGCCATTCTTGTGATTTCCATATTTGCTGGCAAATGGCATGCATCACCTTGACAGCATCATCTTTTAAGATTTTAAACAGTTCAGCTGGGATCCCGTCGTCTCCTGCTGCCTTGTTGTTAGCAATGCTTCTTAAGGCCCATTCAACCTCACCCCTCAGGATGTCTGGTTCTAATTCATTCACCACACCGTCAAAACTATCCTCAATATTATTATCCTTCCTATACAGATCTTCTGTATAGTCTCGCCACCTTCTCTTGATCTCTTCAGCTTCCGTTAGGTCCCTGCCATCTTTGTTTCTTATCATACCAATTTTTGCCTGAAATTTACCTCCAATGTTTCTAAGTTTCTGGAAGAGGTCTCTTGTCCTTCCTATTCTGTTGTCTTCTTCCACTTCCATGCATTGCTTATTTAAAAATAGTTCCTTATCTCTTCTGGCTAACCTCTGGAATTGCGCATTTAACTGGGCATATCTCCCCTTATCCTGTTTCCTTTTGCTTTCCTCCTTTCTTGGGCTACTTCCAGTGTCTCAGCAGACAACCATTTTGCCTTCTTGGTTTTCTTTTTTTTTGGAACGTACTTTGTTGCCGTCTCCTGAACAATGTCGCGGACTTCTGTCCATAGTTCTTCTGGGACTCTGTTTACTAAATCTAGTCCTTCAAATCTGTTCTTCACTTCCACTGTATATTCACTAGGAATGTTAGTGAGATCATATCTAACTGGTCTGTGTATTTTCCCTGATCTCTTTAGTTTTATTCTAAATTGGGCAATAAGAAGTTCGTGATCTGAGCTACAGTCAGCCCCAGGTCTTGTTTTCACCGACTGGATGGATGTCCGCCACCTTTGGCTGCAAAGGATGTAGTCAATCTGATTTCGGTGTTGACCATCTGGTGAAGTCCATGTATAGAGCCGTCTTTTAGGTTGTTGGAAGAGAGTATTCGTTATACACAGCGAGTTTTCCTGGCAAAAAAAAGTGATGTTACGTTCCCTCTTTTTGCCTCCCGCCCCTTGCTTGCCTCTTTTTATTTTCCCAAATAAGAACCCCAACAGTGTTGTATAGGAACCATGGCAGCACCCCAACAGGCCTTTGGGTGGGGTATTAAGGGGTATATTATGGCAAGTGGGCTCCCTGTGGTCTGTTCTCACATAAACATATCAAATCTCCTTTAGAGATGAATACCCAAACTAATTCCAGTCAAAATCTAGACTGAACATATGGGGGAATTAACAGAATCCACATTTCCTTAACACTCTTTATGGCAACGCTCATTTTAAAACCATTTTCTTTAGCTTTGTTTTGCAAACCCAGTTCTTTATAGGTCCAATAAACAGGCACTATGAAGGGGGAGCCCAAAAGGGATGTAAATCCTGCAATGCCAATTTTTGCCTATTGTTTAACACATCATGTAGCCATGCTACATAGAAAACATTTCCCCAAAAGCAACACATGGATTACTCATATTAACTTGATGAACAAATCCTTACTGAGAAGAATTAAAATAGTCCATAAAACAAAGGAAAGATTAACACTATTAATTGTGTTTTCAAATTAATGTATCATGGTAATACCAAATGTCTCCAGATTTTCCGCTGTTCTAGTAGCTTAATAATCTTCTCAGTAAGTAACAAGCATTTCTCTGAAGTTACATTTTGGGTACCAGTCTGCAGTTGCTTCACACTCCGAATTATTTTTCCACAGATGTTGCCACCCTATATAACTCTGAAATAAGAACAACTTTCTGTCTACTTCGACAGTAATCTTCAACAAAAGAGAATCTGTTAATCTTTACTATTAAAACTAATTTTAAAACTATTTTACAATATGGATTATAGCTTCCTAGGAAAATTAATTCAGCTAGTTTTTAAAATACACAAAACTGTAATAAAAGATTGTATTCTGCTAGAGAAAAAATAAATGATGCTAAAACATGATCTGTACCAATAGCTGAACTTGTTTGCATAGTTTAATAGCACATTTGGAATGAATTTGAGACATTCACTGTACCAGTGGGAATGCTCCTCTAGTGTCTTCACTGGCTCATTGACGTTTCTGGTGTCCCAAAATTTCACCTTGCAGTCATCTCCGCAACTAGCCAGATAGTACTGTTTGTTGGGATTAAAATCCAGGTCCCGAACCAGCTGTCCATGAGCATTTTCAATACAATATATTTGGCTGCAGAAATTTTTTAAAAAGAGATTTAGAATACATATATATCTGTGTGTATATGTGTATGAAAAACAAAACCTAACAACATTGGGAGCAGAAAAGGAGGATGTTTATACTGAAAATTGAGGTGTTTCCACCTAAAGCAGTTATTCTCAACCTGTGGGTCCCCAGATGTTTTGGCCTTCAACTCCCAGAAATTCTAACAGCTGGTAAAGTGGCTGGGATTTCTGGGAGTTGTGGGTCAAAACACCTGGGGACCCACTGACTTAAAGCAATGAATTTTTCTGCAGTTGCTTTGGTGGTGAGTGCATGCATATCAGTCTTGCTGTATTAATGATACCTCTTTACAGGGAGTCCCTCAGTTACAAATATTCAACTTGCAAAGAACTCATAGTTAAGAACGTGATGAGACAACAGAAAGTGAGATGAAATCTGCCCCCAGGAAGGGCAATTCACTTCTGGAAGAGTTATTATCATGGAACAAAGGTGTCTCAATTGAAGCTTTATCACCAATCCTTGTTTCCACAACAAGCCAAATTTTACAAAATCCAATTTACATAGGGACAAAAAGTACCCTATACGACTCCAGGCGGATTTTAGAACTCGTTGAACGTTGGCCACTAGATTGGCTTTTTAGTTGTTATTGTATTAATTGAATGTTTTAACTATTATGGTTATTGTTATGTATTTTATCTGTTGAATTGTTGGCATCGAATTGTGCCAGTTATAAGCCGCCCTGAGTCCCCCCCTAGGGGATTGAGAAGGGCGGGTTGTTTCCCTATGAGATCTAAAAGCTAAAGCATATATATTTTTTGACTGGATTGCACTTTAAAAAATACCTGTTCTGAATTACATACAATTTCAACTTAAGAACTAACCTACAGAACCTATTTGTTCATAACTTGGGGACTCTCTGTATTCTAATGAGATGTATTTGGGCACGAATTTGAGAGCAAAAAGGATGACTACAACTATCTCTTCCGTCTCAACCATACCATTCTCTCCTTCATTACCCTAGTTGTGTCTAGTATTGGTAAACACTTACCTTTACCATTAGAATCATGTTCTCCAACATATTGGCGATTTTACTGAGTGGCTGAATCAATCCCACAATTATCTATTCTATGTGACAGAATAAGGCAAAGCCATACACATCTTTTATCCACATCAAGTTTTCTATCCCATCCCTCCCACCAAATTTACTGCATTAGTAGCAAGAACTAACTCTTTGTCCTTCTTTTTCTTTAGGGACGTGATGAACACAGCATACATGAGACTGAAACACTTCTATAGCTTGTTTCCCAGGCTAGCAGTATTCCCAGAGGCATTCTTAGCCTTATAAACAAAATGTACAAATCAAGCTTTATAAACAAAATGCACAAATCTGACAAATAGCATCTCCAAGGTAAGATGGCAGTCTTTGCTCTGTGGCAAATGCAGCTGTGGCCCAGGTCCTAAGCAATAATCGTTGGGTTCCTGAATGAATGGGGATAATATGGCCCCCAAAACTATAGAGCAGACCTATCACTGATCCTCAGAGGTCTGTTGGAAACTAGGAAAATGGGGTTTATATATCTGTGGAAAGTCCAGGGTGGGAGAAAGAACTCATGTTTGTTTACCATACATCAAGGGAACTACTGACCGCATAGGGAAGCTGCTGAAGAAACACAACCTACAAACTATCTACTATACCCACTAACAAAATCCAACAAATGCTACCTTTAGCAAAGGAACGTAGCATTTGTTCCTCCTCTTCAGGAGTCTACCGTACACCATGCAGCTGTGGACAAGTCTACATAGTGATCACCAAACACAGCAGCACCCAAACACAAATCAAGGAATATGAAAGGTACTGCGGACTACTTCAACTAGAGAAGTTAGCCAAGCAGAGAACCTGATAAACAACCTGGACACAGCATATTATTTGAGAAGACAGAAATGCTGGACCACTATAACAACTACCATGTCAGACTACGCAAAGAAGCAATTGAAATCCACAAGCATGTGGATAATTTCAACAGAAAGGAGGAAACCATGAAAATGAACAAAATCTGGCTACTAGTATTTAACAAAAACTCTAAAATCGTAACAGTAAATAAAGAACAACACTCAAAAACAAGAGAATTCCAGACAAGAAACAATCAGAGACAGCTAATTACCTCCCAACAAAGGATTCCCCCAGGCAGTAAGAAGCTAGACCTTAAAACTGCTAGGCCATTGCATGCTAATCAAGGTCGCCAATTGAAACATTTGAAACACCTACCTCAAACAGACAAGAGTTCTTTCTCCCACCCTGGACATTCCACAGATATATAAACCTGACTCGCTTAGTTTCCAACAGACCTTACAAGCTCTGAGGATGCCTGCCATAGATGCACACAAAATGTCAGGAGAGAATGCTTCTGGAACATGGCCATACAGCTCAGAAAACTAACAACAACCCAGGTCAAATACTGTTTACAGATCTATCTCCCCAAGACCATCCTAAAGTGAACATCTTGCTTATTTTTTATTGCTTTTGTTTTAGCTGTTCAAGCAAATTGGTTAAGCCCTTTGGCCTCAACTTGCGCAAGTTACATCATATTCTGAGAACGTGTACCTTTAAGAAAGATGTGACCAAAAAACATTTAACAGCTGATGTGGGCAGATGCTACAATTTTTACAGGTAAAGTTGACATGAAAAAAATGTAATCTATCACCACATTACCTTAAAGCCGTTTGCTTGAAATAATGTGGAGCGGAACCACAGAGGAAAGGCATAAATGGCCCCAAACAAATCTAGACAAACGGACCTTATCTTTTTTTTTAAAAAAAATGACCATATGTCATTAATGCTCTAATAAATGAAACACCTTTAACTATTTTTAGTTTTAGTGTTCAATAGTGATAAAGAGAATGGACTTTTCACAGAAGACTCTTCTTCCTTATAAGATCAGCATATGCCAGAGGAATAGCTTGCAGAACTGGAACAAGCAACACCTAAGCCTAATGAAGGTGCGAGGAGTTGTAAAATGGCTTCTGGAACACCTTGTACAAGCAAAATCAAAGGGCTTACATCGAGGTAAGGTGGAAAACAAGTGTTCTACAAGAAGCAGTGATTTTGCATGATTTTAATGAGTATAATTTATATACAAGTACATATTGTAAATGAGCCAATAACACTATGTAACATGATTTTTGTCCCTGGGCTATAAATGTCATTTCCTAATTGGTTTTATAAAAAAAATGGAAAAAGTATAATAAAACAGCAAAAAAAAACCCTGTTTTTGTGGGACATCCTGCAGCATGTTTTCCTGGGTTTTTTAAATTACTATCTCATATAGTCTCAACCAGTTCAACAGCAACCACAAAAACAAAATTTCTGGAGAATAACAACTTTCAAACCAGGTACAGTTTTTTTTTTTTCAAATGTTGTTAGATAGTTTAAAAGAAACTGAAAATATCAGCAAGAGATGCAGCAGAAAAATGAGATGATAAAAAGAGGCATAAACACCCATACACATGATAGTTGAACCTTCCACCACATTCAGCTATGGATCACTAGGAAGTTACTCATTTTATTCCAGAGCCTTGCATCCTCAGTATACCATTCTTAAAGGGAGGTGTCTATCTGCATATCATTTTAGGATCAAAGCCCCAGGTAGCGCAATGAGTTAAACTCTTGTGCCAGCAGGACTGCTGACTGAAAAGTCGGCACTTTGAATCCTGGGAGCAGGGTGAGCTCCCACCTGTCAGCTCCAGCTTCTCATGCAGGGACATGAGAATACATTGGATGTCAAGGCAGTTGAACCCTGGGTTGTATTTGCTGGAAGTGAAAATGGGTGAACCTATCTGAACCCCCAACAGGCCCTATTACTTCTCCCATATGTCTCCTTCCCTTAGCAACATTCGGTCTGCAAACCACCCAATTCTTTGAATTACAAAATTGAACAAATCTCATATATTAAGTAGAAACCTGGAAAAGGGTGGCCGGGGGAGGGAGGGGAGAGGGGACGTGACAAAAATAATCTCTCTGAAGCGGTTATTTGGATTACAAAGGAAAGCTCCATAGGGTACCAAAGCCTGTTCAGGTCTCCACTGAGCTACTCTTAATGAGCACATTCTGTTTGGGCCGTTCTGGGTCAGAGCCTTGGGTTCCCACTTTTCGGCTTATCTTTCACTGCATCAAAACCTTTAGGTAGAATTAAAAGGAGGCAATGGCTCTCTTTTGTTTTCCTGGAGCAGGAAACATTTTTTCCCCTCGCAATGTCATTTTACAATTTGTGTAAACTAGGCCTACAAAACAACTGTAAGAGTTTTTCTCATTTAAAACTGCTTTAAATGTTGAGGAGAGAAGCATGGCAGGAACGGAACTGATATTTTCTTAACTAAATACAACTGGTAGCAAGAATATGCAAGAACCAATTTAAGTGAGCTTTATTATGAGCTCTTGTGAGTATCACAATGGGTTTATGAACCCACTCCTTCAGTTAAATCATTGCTCTGGCTCTCTTGCCTATGGGAATAGGGACATTAAGGTGTATGTATGGTGTGATATGCACCTGCATGTAATACTATGGGTACATCTACACTGTAAAGTTAAAACAGTTTGATACCACTTGAACTGAAAACATGGCTCTTCAGGCAGGCCTTTGGAAACATCTACTAATCTAAGAATCAAACAATATAATATCGACACTGGCACTTTTAATGGTCGAATTTGAGCTGTGCCTGGGATGATGTATGTTTCATTTCAATGCCAATCAGGAATATGTTTTATTAATTCTAATTGGGATCAGGTTTTTTAATTTTTATAATGTGCTGTTTTTGTGTGAACTGATATTGTCATTGTCTAATATACTGATTGATTTCACCTGTATTTTATGTGGTTATGGCACTTGTATGTGCTTCTGTAAACTGCCCGGAGTCCTTTTTGGGAGATGGTGGCAGGGTATAAATAAAGTTTTATTATTTTACTAGCTGTACTCATCACACGTTGTTGTGGCCAACCTTCCCTCCCTCTTTCTTCCCTTTTTTCTTCCTTCTCTCCTTCCTTCCTTCTCTTTCTCTTCCTTTCATTCCCCCTTTTTTTCTTTCCCTTTTGCTTTTTCTTCGTTCTTCCTTCTCTACCTATTATTGGACTGCAACTCCCATCAGTCCTCCTGATCAATGTATCTAGCTACCTATCTATCTCTATCTAATCTATCCATCTTATCTGGAGGATTGCTGGSAGTTCCAGTCCAGGAATAGGAAATTGGAAATATGCAGGGATTGGGAAGCTCTCAAGGAAATGCAAGGAGAAGAAAACTTGCAGTTTGGAAGCAGTGCATTTGGATCAGCCTCCTCTCCTAAAAAGCCTAGTCGAGRGGATGGTGGGAACTGCGGTCCGGAAGAGAGTGTGAATATGCTATTGTGTGTTTTGTTTGCTGGGGAGTCGTTTTGCGCATGCACTATAGYATCTTTTTGTGGTTTTTTTTTTTTTTTGCTTTTTAAGTCCCTTCTGCTGTGTTTTTTCGTGTTTAATGAGTGATGGTCACTCATTGGCCTGATAGGTGTATTGTGTCCAAATTTTGTGTCAGTTCATCCAGTGGTTTTTGAGTTATGTTAATCCCACAAACATGACATTTTTATTTATATAGATTATTACAACTGCTGTGGTTCACTGCTATGGATGGGAGGTAAACTTTTCCAAGGTCTTTAGTCTTACCTACCAAGGACTGCTGGTGTCTCACTAAATTACAGATCCCAGGATTTCACAGCACTCAGCCATGGCATATGAAGTGGTGCCACTATCTAGTGCAGTGATTCTCAACCTGTGGTTCTCCAGTTGTTTTGCCCTACCACTCCCAGAAATCCAGCCAGTTTACCATCTGTCAGGACTTCTGGGAGTCGAGGGCCAAAACATCTGGGTACCCACAGGTTGGGAACCACTGATCTAGTGCAACATGTCTGAGACTGTGCAAAGCCTTTAATTCAAGTTGACTGCAATGTTCAGGTTGTTTTATTGCTTCTTTTAATAAACTAGTTTATTTTTGAAGTAAAGAATGATGAACCAAAGATATATTTTTAAAAAGGTTAATCTTCATCCCAGTCATGTGGGAGTAAGGCTGGACCTACACTGCCCTATATCCCAGGATCTGATCCCAGATTATCCTGTAGTGTAGACTCATATTATCCAGTTCAAAGCAGATAATCTGGGATCAGAGCAGTGTAGATCCAGCCTAAGAGGTGAGAGAAGGATAAACTCAGTTTTGGTTTAGCATTATTTGAAAGAAGTCTTTCTCTCTATGTGGAGATTTCACCATCTGATGTTTTGCATCCACTAACAATGTATTATTCGTGATCCAGTACAGAGGTCTGAAGTTAGGGTTTTAGACATATACTTGTAGAAAACAGAATGGGAATGAGACGGAACAGTGAACAGCTCTCTAACTATATATTTTCAGCATTTCCTATTTGAGTGGTTTGGATCGTGGGTTTTTGAGGAGCACAAATGGAAACAATGGAAGTATAGTGGCACACTCATGAGCATGCAGGAGACATAAAACTAAATTTAAAGACATCTCCCCCTTTAAGGCAGCAGAAGTTATTACAAGACATCCGTCTTCCAAGGCTAGTGATAAATTACTATGTGCTAAGGGGATAAGCTGTATCTTAAAAAAGCTTGCACAGACTTCTGTTGTCATGGTAACAGATGTGCACAACATCACTCCTTTGCTTATCAAAATCACAACTAGAGCAAAGGGGGGGGGGTCTCATACTTCGTAAACTGATGCATAAGCTTTGTTGGCATCCAAAATGTTGATATGTTGTGCACCAAACTTATTTATTTTACAAAATGTGTTAAGCTAGTAGCTGATAATAACACTGGAATTTTCTGGTGTATTTAACATAAAAGATACTGTCAAAATCAAATGGAAACACTGTTCGTTCCTCCACCAAAAACGAAGGGTAAAATCTTAAATTTTGCGCAAGAACTTTGCTAGCACACTTGTACTGGTAAGCTTTGAAATACCAATCAAGGATCGAAAATTGAGTCACTGTGCTCTGCCTGCATGGAAATTCAAGTGACACACTCCAAGAATATTCACACAGTGTAATCTAGCACGATGGAAACTAACCGAACTTCCACCATTAGCATCATTCTGAATAAAGCTGCATTCACAGTGTTGAGATATGGAAGACTAGGCTAAGAGTATATAAGAATTTTGAAATAGGCTAGTACAACTGTGCTGCTCATGTAAAATACAACAATTAATAACAGATTCTTTTTCTGCATTTTCTTTTAAGAAAATGCCCTGTCTGAAGGGTTGTTGTTTTTAAAAGACTCTGTTCATGGGGATTTTTCTCTCTTTTTGTATGCATGTTTGTTTGTCCATTTGTACCACAAAGGTTGTTGCTAAGTGAAGTGGCTCTCTGTGATGTCACTGAGAAAGAAAGGTGGCATGTGTATGGAGGAATGAAGGGAGGAATGAAGGGAGGGAGGGAAAAGAAAAGGGAAAGAAAGGAAAGGAGAAGGGAAGAAAGAAAAAGGAGGGAGGGAGAGAAGGAAGGAGAAAAGGGGAAAGAAAGGAAAGGAGAAAGGAGGGAGAGAGGGAGGGAGAGAGGGAGGGAAGAAAGAAAAAGTGAGGAGAAGGAAGGAAGGAAGGAAGGAAGGAAGGAAGGAAGGAAGGAAGGAAGGAAGGAAGGAAGGAAGGAAGGAAGGAAGGAGAAAAACAATGGAAAGAAAGGAGGAGGGAGGGAAGAAGAAAAAGGAGGGAGGGATGGAGGGAAGAAAGAGGGTGAAGGTGTATAAAAGAAACAGGGAGGTAGGGAAAAAAGCTTCTGAGAAGGTAGACCTTTTCAGAGCTGGAGAATAGAGAAAGTAAGCAGTGATTCCAATGGCACCTGGGCTATGCCAGGTACATATACTAGTACAGTGGTTTCCAACCTGTGGTCCGTGAGCCACCAGTGGTCCACAAGAACTAAACGATGGTCCGCAGACTCACCGTTACTACACCGTTGCAATGAGAGTGACTGGTCTCGCAAAACCCTCTTATAGTGCTGAGGCTTATTAAATATGGTTTTCTGTGGGTGAGCAGATGGCGACTACTGGATAGCAAATGTTCTGTATCAGAAACTAGAGCTGATGTGGTTTATCTAGTGCATTTTTCTGAATCAGCATCCCAAATAAACAAACCAAATCTATAGTTGACCAAAAACTGATTCATAACTCTTTTGGTACTAATGTTGGAGAGTGGTCCCTGGTAAAAAAAAAAAAAAAGGCTGGGAATCACTGTACTGGTACATGGATAGAAAAAAAATCAAGCTTCTTACTTCATCGTTCTTATGTCCCATCCTCGAATGGCTGTATCATTTGCTGTAGCAACTTGTGTGCAATTATGGTGTGGACTCCATCTCCCAGAGGTAAACTTTAACTGTCCCTTTCCTTCCAATGCAACTGAATTTGACAGCTGTGCATGAAAAAAAAATCAACAACAGATTCATTTAATATCCAGTGTGAACAAAAAAAATATCCCCTGCACAACACATTTCCGTCATTACAGGCTAAATTACTTAAGAGGTAACAACTAGCAAAGACCATGACACTAAGACATTACATTATCCATTTGTCAGACAGTAATGTTCCATTTCATACCATACGAGTTACACATTGTTCTGTGAGGTACAAAAAAAAAATAGAAAAATACATTAAGAGATAAATGAGCAATACTAGCTTTTGCTTTTTTAATTCTAGTCCATTATTTATAGAGAGATGGATATGGAATAAACATAATGTGGGTAGTTTCTCAACACTGAACTTATTCAGACCTTGGGCTCATGTGTATCCAATTCAACCTACAGAACAAGTGCATTTTAGGTTATTGGGCGGTGTTTTGAAGTTCAATAATTGTTTTAAATGCTTGTTGTTTTATCTTCTATTGTATTGTGTGTTTATTTTTTTGCATTGTTCCAGACACATTGTGCCATATGTAAGATGCTTTATCACCAATCCTTGTTTCCACAACAAGCCAAATTTTTCAAAATCCATTTATACTATATAGTGTTATCACAGGGACAGAAAGTGAGATGAAATCTTCTGAACAGGGCCAGAGACAGCAAAACAAACACCACAGGGGTGTTAACAATTCCCTGTTGTTGTTATTATTACTACTACTACTACTACTACTAATTTATTTATATCCAACCACCATCTCCCAAAAGAGATTCAGGATGGCTTACAAATGCTACATAGCAAATCCCTATGCCATCCAAAGCAAGATATACATATGGCTGGAGTTACACTTAAAAATGTATCTGTTTCAACTTACATACCAATTTGACATAAGAACAAACTACAGAACGTATCTTGTCCATAACCCGGGGACTCCCTGTACAGGAAAAAAGATTCTATCTAAACATTACAAAGAGCTTCCTAGTGTTTACAGCTATTAGGCCATGGAATATGCTATCGTGGAGTGTGGTAGAATCTCCTTCTCTGAAGCTTTTTAAACAGAGGCTGGATAGCCATCTGACAAGCGTGCTTTGATTGTGTGCTCCTGTATGAAAGGGGGTTGGGCTGGATGGCCTTTGTGGTCTTTTCCAACTCTTATCAGGCTTTCACATCTTATCTACACATGTCAGAGTTGCTTCTCTCTAATTATGGTTCTGTGGTCATCTGTGAAATCACACTTATTCCTCACTCTGTGCCCTTGTGGAGATTTTTGGAAACTTCTAGAGCTGCATTTACTTGGTTATTCTATCCCCTGACATACACATATATAATCTGTGTATTCCTGATAAACCTAGTACCAAGTCTGTCATCAGGAAATCTGAAAAGGGACAGTGTGAAGAGGGATGTAAGTTGTGTGTGTTCACAGATCACTCAAATAAAAGTTACAGGTAGGCAATTTCTTCTTCTTCTCCGTGAACCACATATTTAAGACCATAGCAAACTACATTTACTGAAGATGGTGAGTCATACCAGGACTGATGTTAGAATCGTTCTACCAAATAACAAACTACATTTACTGAAGATGGCGAGTCATACCAGGACTGATGTTAGAATCGTTCTACCAAATAACCCATGGTTTGAGACTGTGTATCCAGTCTGTAATGAGCCATAAATACACACAGTTGTGACCGTGTAGTTGTGCAGCACAATTCCAGGAAGGGAATCCCCCTGAGATACACTGATGAGACAGCTGCCACCCAAGCTTTAACCCCATCTGGTTTTGTTTTATTTTTTGCACGTGCCATAAACGCCAAACATCTGACAGACTAAAGCAAGACTACCTGTCTAACATCTAGGGTATACTGGGCACTGGAGCTTGAAATATGAGATTGCATGAAGGTGGGAAGCACCAGGAGCTAGTTAAGATCCAAAGTAGAGGAAACAGATGTCCATCACAGGACTACCTTGTCCCTATGAAAGAACATGTGCAACGGATCCATCCTGATTACTGCCAATTCACTGGTTCCATGGCAACAGTGAATGCTGTTCACCAGGTGAAGATGGGGTTTGGAGGGACACACCATAAACATAAACAGTAATCTAATCTCATTTGTTAAAGAAGACTGCTAACCAGGTCTCAAACAAAAATAGGGGTTACTAGATGTTTGGCAAAGGAGAGAGTGAAAAACATTGTATGGAGCCACAAGTTTTTTAGCAGAAGAACAATGCTTTTGTTTGGCCATAAGAACGTCAGAAAGAGGAGGACCTCAGAGAGGGAGATCTAAAATGTTGAGGAGGAGGAAAAAGTGAAACTCGTTTAGATGAAAATGGCTTGAACCCCTAAGTCCTAGAGACTGTGGTTCCTAGCTGTCAATTTCATTTTCTGACTGACTTCCCATCCAATGGAAAGTCTTCAGTTATGGATTCTGCACTATGGATCAGTCCTGCAAAACATGTCTACATGATTGCCTTTGCATTACAGTCTTCCACATGCTTCATTTTGGTAATCTGCTGAGCCATCGATTTTTGTGCTTCAGAATGATGAAAGCAAAGCAGTTTCTTGTTATTGCCCAACAGGTGTTTCACTGGGGAGGGGGCAACCTGTTCCCAGAGAAACAGTTGATATATGCCTCATAATTTGCTATTTTGGTCTCCCACCAGTAGGTTGAAGGAAAAAGCAGAAGTATCCTCTAGAACAGTGGTTCTCAAACTGTGGGTCCCCAAGTATTTTGCCCTACAACTCCCAGAAATCCCATCCAGTTTACCAGCTATTAGGATTTCTGGGAGTTGAAGGCCAAAACATCTGAGGACCCGCAGGTTGAGAACCACTGCTTTAGAGGTAAACAATTTGATTCCTCCTCCAATTATGACTTAATGAAGGAGTTCCTATTAAGTCCTCTAGAAGGATGAGACAGACATATTGGAACAGGTAAGGCTGTGCTAGCATTGGAGCAATTAAGATGAGTTAGGGGAAGCGGATTCCCTGAATAGTTGAGGAGATTGTACCAGAACTCATGGAGGACAAAATGGTAGCTTGAGAGATCAAGAATACTGCAGTCTAGAAGTCATAGCCACAAAAATCTATATTTCAAGGTACAAGAGAAAGCAATTGCATGAGGTGGTGAGTGTTGCTTTGCAAGATAACAATTTAAGATACACAGAAAACATACAGCTAGTAGAAAATGGTAAAAGTCTTGGAACAAATTCTGAAGAAAGTCAAAGAAGATGCAATGGCAGGTTTGCAGTTGAACATTAAGAAAACAAAAATAATTACCACAGATGGTTTACCTTACTTGACTGTAAACAATGACATTGAAATAGGTCAATTTTTTCATGTCTTCACTCAGTCGTTAATCAGAACAGAGACTGCAGTCAAGAAATCAGAAGAATGCTAGGACTTGGAAGGACAGCTATGAAGGAATTACACAAGATCCTAAAATGTAACGATAAATTGTATTTCCAATTTCTATGTATGGTTGTGAAAGTTGTCTTTCTATCAACGCCAAGCATTGTGGATGTCCTCAGATATAATCAATTAACAGAAACTGGAGGTGATTTTCAATACTAACCTTCTCATAGTCTTTTGGCTCCAAGGATACCCTTAATTCCTACTTTGAAGTAATAGGAAGCTAGGAATAGATCTGACCTTGGTCAAGGAGTGCATGCTAGATTGCTGGCTCTTCCTCTGTCTCCACCCCTTGCCCTTTCTTTTCACCACTGTTGGCACTTGTGTAGAAAGATCTATTTCTCACTCAAGCAACTCAAATTTCATGCTTATGGTGCAAGCAGAGTTTTTGACACCGTAGTGCCCTTACAGGTTCTGGACCTTTGTCCCTATACAGCTCTTTATGATATGCATACCAAATGTATGCAAATCTGTTTTATTTAGATAACACTCAAGATGCAGGCGTCATCCATCCATAGCATGGAAGCTGAAACTACTATGGAGAATTTTCTTTGAAGTTTTGAAGGAAAATAACAGTTCAGGAATATGTAAATATAGTGAAGGTAAGGGTTAAATTGGATGATGTTTATTTAAAGGAATGGTGCAGCTAATGAAAGGCATTTGACAGTGATGAATTTCTATAACTAAATTCTAGGAAAGTAAATGAGAAAGCCCAAGAACTTGATGTTCAGTAGAAAATTCTCTTTCTATTAAGCAGTATGACTTGTGACAGACTGGAGAACATCCCAAAGGAAATGCTTGTATTTGATACAGATTGGAATTAAGGAGAAATATGGTAACTTTGAGATTATGAGCAAAAGAGACTGCCTAGGACAGTGAAAGCCTAATTAGCATTCAAAGAACCTGAAAGCAAGCTGAAGCAGAGCAGCCCAGAGGGAGCATGAGGAATGGGAGGAAATGCTAAGCATGTCTGTAAAACCCTGACACTTCAATCAGACAAGAATGTTCATCACAGCATGCAAACAGACTTTGCTCTAGAAAGAGGAGTCGGCCAACAGTTGGCAAGAGAGAGTGTATTAGATTGGTCAATTGCATGTAACAGTGGCAATCACTAGAAAGGCAGAAAGGAAGCTAGCTGGGTGACCACCCTGGAAGAGGGGAAAAAGAGAAATGAATAAAGGTTTTAAGCAGGAAGAAATGTGACCATTCTACTGCTGCTTTGTGCAATATGCAGCTTCTAAGCTTACTTTATGCTTGGAAAAATATTTCTCAATATTAGTATTTGAATCCATGAATTCTCATTTAAGTTGATGAACAACCACAGTGGAAAACATTAGCACTGTGTTGTTTTTTAAAAATCAGGTGATAGGAAATTACCTGGAATTATGTTTCATTGTGATTTGTTTCACTACTTACCACTGCTCTACTTGAACTTTCTTGCAAATCCCACAGAAGCAAGTGGTTATCGGCCAGAGAAATTAGCTTTTTGCCGTCTCCCATTGGCTCCCAAGCAACACTGTAAACACAAAATGGAACCTTGAAAACTTCAGAAAGCCAAACTGCCCACACATCAGGCATTTTAATTCAAGTTCATATATAAATTTTCTATAACTATCATCTTTAGAAGCATTGTCCTCAAGTGGACATGTGGAGAGTTTTGTTTTTTGCTTGTTTGTTTGTTGCTGTTCCATACAACACTATGCAGAGTGAAAATGGAAAATTTTGTTATATCATGAAATACATCAAACATTTTATGTCAAAATCTATATTCTACTTCATGGCAACACCTCTTATGGCAACTTATAGACAATCCATTGGAATAGACCGAACAAAGCAATATTTTATTACTAGATGCACATCATTACAAAACAAATCAGAAATGAAATAACAGATTTCTTGGATTTTGACTGATGCACTTTTGCCAAAGGTTGCACATTCTCCAAAGCCATGTAGCAGTGCAAAAAAGTCAGACAAAATCGTCTAATTCTAAAAAGCCTACTTCTCCAGTGCTTGACTTTATGACCATGGTGGCCATGACGCTAACTACTTTTCTTAAGATTTGTCTCCACAGCTTTCAAAAGCTTCAGAAAGTTTGAAACAATACAAAAGAGCTCCCGAATATAGGTCTACTGCCTTGGTATTCTCTCAAGAAAAGATAAGATAATTAGAGTGCATCTACACCTTTCAAATAAATATGGTATTATAGGCTCTAGGAGTGCTCCCAATATCACTCATGAGAATTCCCAGAGTCCCTTGCTGTCCACATGGCCGGCCAGTCCAAGGGTGCATTGAGCTGCTATATTGAAGACAGTATACTCCCAGACAGAGACTTGCTGCTGGTACCACATTTCTGGTCATGTGAATGACCACCATGAATGAAATCCCACCGTGCATTTTAATTTGCAAACTTGCGCTCCTCAATAATAAGCCACATATTAAATTGATGTTTCATATTAATTGATTACAGTGAGATGAACGACAGAAACTTCAGCTGTATGAAGGATCCACTGCAGTACTTTTGTTTCTAGATCAAAACAGGTTTATCTGGATTCATTATAAGTAGGGAGGAGCCCCCAAAAATCTGGAAATGCATGTACAATTGGTTTGAAATTTAATGGAAAGTACCATTAGCAAGTAAAACCAAGCACCTATCTGACTCATTGACAACGGGAATTCATTTTCAGTAGCCATTCCTGTAAATTCCATTTCCTTTCCGCTTGCATTAAGCCATGTGAAGAGGACAGCAGATTAGCATCACACTTGAAGTCCTCAAAAAGCGAATCTTAATGCATTTTTTTTATTTCTGCTGAGCTTCAAGGAGAATGTGTTACTAACCTGACAGAAAGAGTGCTAATTACAAAGAATCATAACTCAACCAACACACCTTGAAAAGATCTCACATCTGTCCTTGTGAGATGGACATTTTATTTCATTGCTAAGTCATTTTATTGGATCTCGTAGTTCACTCTTTTATAGCTGCAATTGTAGCAACCCTTCAGGATTTATGTTGAAATAAAGGTTACTGTTCTTTTTTTCATTAAGCAATTCTTTTACATAACAGTTACTTGTACTTGTAAATTATGGTCATTCAATACTGAGGACCAAAACCTGTAGTACATACTTCATTTGGTGCTAAGTAACTTTTTTTATCATGTCAGAAGCAACTTGAGAAACTGCAAGTCGTTTCTGGTGTGAGAAAAAAGGCTGCCTGCAGGGACGTTGCCCAGGGAACACTCAGATGTTTTACCATCCTGTAAGAGGCTTCTCTCGTGTCCCTAAGTAACTGATTTTTGAAAACAGCTTCTCATTGCTAGTTTTCGTTTTGTTTTAAAACAAAACTTACTCCTTGCTATTAAAATTATTTTAACAAACATTTCCTTAAAACATATTTTAAAATGTGAAAATGTGCACTTAATTGACCAATATTTTAGCCTAGACTGATATTTAAAGTATGCCAATGTCTTATGTTTTATTTATTTAAAAGGCATAGCCAAATTCCATGTCATGATGGCACTCTTTAACCATATTTTTTCCCTTCACAAAAGCCTGAACCGATCATAATTGGAAGGAAGAATCAGACAAGGATGAATGAGTTCAGTGAATCTGTCTTCATATTCTGGTGTCACCTCACTTTATTCAAAAGGAAAATAAAAGACCATTTAGCCATTGTCCCTTTTTTCTACATGCAGAAACGGATAAATTTGAGGGAGAGGTCCCTGTTATTCTAAGGCAGGGTCTCTAAAACGTTTTCCACTCGTGACCCTGACTGAGCCTGAGAAATTTGTATGCAACCCCAGATATATAGGTATAAAAAGTTGGCATAAAAATACGGATAGTAAATCAGCATTTGCAAGGCTCAATAAACAGACTGATTTTTCTTTTTATGAGGCACAGCTGAAGCATTTTCTGCAGTTCTACAGCACATTATTGCTAACAGATTCATGTAAATGTCTAAAACAGCCGCTAAGTTTACTGTTGTCAACACTGAGTGAAGGGGCCCCATTTGAGGTCGGGAGCCACATATTAAGAAGCAATGTTCTAAGGAACTCTTTATGAGCATGAGTGTCTTCACACTTTATATATGGATTCTCTCCATATTTTAAGTATCTGCAAAAAGCATGGGACTGCAGAAGGCACTGGACTAAAGATTCATCTGTCTGTGTGATTAAAAATAAATAGAGGTATTATCTGTATATGGCTCCTTGAATGAGTGAAAGAGAAGAGGAGTGAAAAACATATTTTATTTATTTAATTAACATATGGAATTTAACTTAAATGTCTCCACTAAAAGTCTTACTTACACCTGGAAAAATGTCATCCATAGTTATTACTGGCTAAAACACTTTACTGCTAATTCCCAATGTACCCCAGCAAAATCTCTAGAGTTATGTTTTCTTAGACAGGCTTTGGTAGGCTTAGACAAGACTGTCCTCCTTCTCAAGTTGCCCTTATTAATTGATGAGTTTCCCTGGACTTTTTCCTCATTGATAATTTAATTAATAACTCAATTCTGGAATTAAATTAATGCTGAAATCCAAATATAAATATTGCAAGGGTTCTGAGAAAAAAATGAAACTGACATTTTTTTATAACCTAAGTCAATCCCCTAAGTTTAAAAATAAACAGAATTGAGTTGCTTCTTTCCATTAGAAAATTTCAAATGCAATTGACCAACTGAATTGGTTTCAACTAATTGCATCTTTGAGTGTTATTATTAAACTCTTTTGGATCAAGAACACCTTGACACGACAGGGAAGCACACTCAAATGTCATCCTCTGTTTGGAAGGAAAGTGGAGAATCTTTTGTCATGTGGTCTTCCATCTTCAGTTAGAAGTCCGGTAGTTTTCAGGAGAGAACTGTAATACATATCCTATATACTCATGTATAAATCTAGAATATATTTTTTATTAAAAGTCAATCCCAAAAGCCTGGGTCAGCTTATTCATAGGTCAATGTAATTACTGTACCTTAATTCTTATCACACAAGGAACCATCCCCTTCACTGAGTAGAGCAACAAAAGGAGAGAGCTTAACCTTCCCAGGAGAATGTAAAGAAGCACCAACCTCCTTTACTCTCTCTTATGTGGCATCACATCTGGCATTTTTGGCATTGGTGCTTTCCTCTGTTTGCAAAGTGACCCTGAAGTTATCCATGGGTCATATTTTGGCTCCAAAACTTGCCCAGAACCTATACATGAAGTTGACTTATACATGACTATATATGGTACTTTTTCTGAACATGTAAGCAAGAACTGGATGAGATACGGCTCATCAGTTTGACAATAATAAATATAACCAAATCCTCCCCTCCTTCCTGCAATTGTACTGAACAAAGATTTCACCTCCAGCTTACGGATTCTGCTAGAAGTTCCCTCTTGTCATCTTTCTACACCAGCTCCACTGGCTGCCAATTAGCTTCCGAGCACAATTCAAAGTGCTGGTGTTAACCTATAAAGCCCTAAACGACTCCGGCCTGGTTTACCTCTCCGAACGTATTCTCCCCTATGAACCATCAAGATTACTAAGCTCGTCTGGAGGGGCCCTGCTCTCCGTCCCGCCGGCCTCACAAGCGCGGCTGGTGGGGATGAGGGACAGGGCCTTCTCGGTAGTGGCCCCGCGACTCTGGAACTCTCTCCCGCCAGAGGTTAGAACCGCCCCAACAATCCTGACATTCAGGAAACAGGTGAAGTCGTGATTGTGGAGACAGGCTTTTGAAGAATAAGACAATGATCTGGATGGAAGACGGTGTATATTCGATTTTAGTGTGACGACTGACCACTGTAGTTTTAAATATATGTGCTTTTTTAATGTTTTATTGTAATGTGTATTTTGATATTTTACTGATTGTATGTGTTTTTATGGTTGGAAACCGGGCTGAGTCCCTCTTATGAGGTGAGAAGCTCAGTATCTAAAACTTTGAAATAAATAAATAAATAATTTCTAGTTGATTACAGCATTAGGTAATATGGTTAGCCAAAAGGACTGCTTTTATTTGTCTTTAAAGACACATGAAGAGGAAGGGATTGGTATGTTTTACATCTTGCATTTTCAAATCACCAAGGTGATGCAAATTCATTATTTCTTTTTCTTGATAAGGGAAAGAGAAGGGACCTTTGTGATATCCTAATCTGAAAAAGCAGCAAAAGACTTTAATACAAAATAAGGAGGAGAGATGGAAGAGGGGGAAAGGAGAAGGAGAGTAAGGGGGTGCATCGTTAAATTAGTCCACAAAAGCAAATTTAAATTAAGAAAAAGAAGGCCTTTAAGACCACAATAAGAAAGGGCCAAGTAGGATTTTAAGAAGGGAAAACTTGCAGTGAATGTGTATGTGTGTGTGGGAGGGTGTTGACCCCCCTCCCCAATATCCAGAGTATCACAGCTCTAATCAAATCTTGACTGTTCCCATCTGCTTTCACTAATCTGAGATAAAATCCACAACAGGTACAGGCAGGAATTGCATGACACCTCGTTTGTTTTGACTGAAGGCCTACAGTGTCATCCATCTACTCATGTGTGGAGCACATCAACCTGCCCCAGTAGACCTAGAAGCATTCAAGACTTTTTGACACTGACCAAAATGTGTGTAAAGGGCTCTCTGGGTTTGAATGACAGAACTTCCTTAAAGAAAACGAGTTCCCAATTATGGCAACTGTGCAGACACATTCAACTACACTGTTTAGAGGAGGGTTTTCACTCATGCCCATCCTCTAATCATGGCTCAATACATCAGTAGTCAATGATTTCCTGCAGAGGATCACTGCAGTAGAACCACTGTTAAAGAAAATCATATTTTGGGTTTTGTATTTGTTCAAACTTTGGAAAACCTCTATTTGTATATAATTTTTAAAGAAACTTTTCAAAGTGATTCAACCACCAGTTGGTGGCAAGATTTGTTCTCTCTCTTTTTGATCCAATGATTGTTTTAAACTGTTTCATAATATGCTCTCTGTGTATACATGTGTGCACTGTTTAAACAAATCTAAATAGAATAAAGACTGTTAAATATTCACTGAACTCCATGGAAAGCATGTTTTGTACTTTTGCTTTTAATGAAGAATGACTTTTAAGAAATTTAAATCTTACTGAGTCTACTTAAATATTATGGGAGACAGGGCAAAGCAACTTTTGCATTCTAAACCTTATTAAATCTACCTTTCTGTACCTAACAGAAAAATGCTTGTCAGCTAAGGAGGACTCTTTCTTTTATTAAAATACAAGTGGAGTAGAGAGGACGTATTTACATGGCAGCTTAATGTTCCCTTATCTATACCAGAGCAGAAACAGTACATTTTTTAAAAAATTGTTTCAATAGTAATATTGAAAGGGCGATATGACATGCCTTTTTTGGTAACAGTTCAGCTATGCATCACTATCAGTTCTAAATATGAAAGCAGCTACGAGGTATAATATGAAATAAAATCTCATCATCCCCAAACTTTAGTTAGAAATAGACCAATGCTGTATATTGCTTGTGAGTGTCAGAAGTTTAGAAACCCAAGGCAAAGGTAAATGTTTCCCCTAACATCAAGTCTAGTTGTGTCCAATTTTGGGGGGTGGTGCTCATCTCCATTTCTAAGCTGAACAGTCAGCATTGACTGTAGACACCTCTAAGGTCACATGGGTGGCATGACTGCATGGAGTGCTGTTACCTTCCTGCAGAAGCGGTACCTATTGTACTACTCATATTTGCATGTTTTTGAACTACTAGATTGGCAGAAGCTGGAGCTAACCATAGGAGCTCACCTCATTCCCCAAATTCAAACCATCAACTTTTTGGTGAGCAAGTTCAGCAGCTCAGTGGTTTAACCCGCTGCACCACCAAAAATGTTCAAAACAAGATTTCCAACAAACAAAATTATTAAACTACAATGGTAATAGTAGAACGAACAGTACATGCACAGTTTCGGAACAAGGCAGACTTCCCGACAGTAGAAGAATGGGTGGTTAACATTTTTAAAATAGCAGAAATTAGCAATGATGAACAAAAAAAAACTTTATTAAGGACTGCGAGTCATTTCTAAACTTTGTAAAAAAAATTGAAAGGTTTTTATAGAAGGCTTCATAATTTAATCTGTTAGAATCTTTGTAAGAAATCTATAACTATTAGGCCTGAAAGGAAGTCAGAAAAACAATGTAATAGGGAGAAAGAACCAAACTATATATGAATGTCTCCAACCCAAAAGATGGGAAGTCACCACAATTGGAGAGGTGGGAGGAGGGATGTCAAATACAAATATTACATAAATGTTAGATAGTATTGTACTGGTCTGTTTATATATAAATATATATAGATTGATTTCATAGTTTTTATGAGTATATATATACACACACACATATATAAACCTATATATATATATATATAATGGGAAAATAAGATTTCCAAGCTAAATTCTATACCATGATAGTCAATATATGCAATATTAGTTGTGTGCAACACAAAATGAACATACACAATGTTCATTTGTGTCACACACAACTAATATTGCATTGTATATGTTCATTTTGTGTTGCACACAACTATAACTGCATTTATTGACTATCATGGTATAGAATTTAGTTTGGAAATCTTGTTTTGAACACATACAGCTATAGTTACAAGTATGGGATTGTATTGCTAATGTTTTTAATTTCTGATGCTTTTAAAATTAAGAGTGTATGTTGTACATACATTCACAGAATGTCTCCCGAAATGTAGTGAACCCAATAAACCTGCTCTGAAGAGCTCTGGTCTAGCCTTCACGCTTTCCCACCTCATCCCTGGGAGTATAAAATATGTAGACTCCTACCCGGCCATATTGCCATAGGCTGTGTTGTCAAGGTGACAGAGTAGCTCCAGGGTTTGAGCGTTGCTTGATGAATCATCAGGGGATTCATGACTGCCTGATTCCAATTCCTTCGGCATCCTCCAAACAGACGCACATGTCATGACTTTACTGTCTGAAGCTAAAGAACAGAGGATAATGTCAACAGATCACAGCATGGGAAGGTGCGGAGACATTCTGGGACACAATGCATAAGTATTCCCCCCCCCCCCGCATTCCCCCCACCTTTTTTTACGAGCAGAGGCAAAGCACAGCACATCTGCTATTTAAAACATTGAAATAAACTGAATTAGTTTTACTCTGAAACATATAAGCACAGAACCAAAATAACAGGCAACACATAAGCAAGCAGTTTAATTCAGAGCTCCTAAGGCTTAATTCACATTTCTAAAAGAAAATATACAGCAGAGAATGAAATTGGACTGGAAGGACCAGGGCTGCTTCCTGTATCTCCATTTCAATTAATATTTGAAATTACAGTGACCTTTTGCTGAGGGCACCTCTTTTTTTTTTTGCCTTAATGGTAAGAACGCAGGCATAATTTTAAGGTCTCATGCATTTGGCTTTGCTGGGTCATCTTTAATATGCGTGTCCGGCATTAAATCACCTCTTAGGAAGAGAACATTTTATAACCTTAATAGCTACAGAGCTCCCATCCCACACATCAAGTTTGATTTTCAGCATAATATACAAAAGATTCCAGGCCAAATCCTCCTAGTTTACGGTCCCTCAAATGTTCCAGTCCAAAGACCATTGACATCTTTGGACATTCCAGGAAGTCTTCAAGAAATCACATAGCAAAATAAAAAACCAAATGCACTTGTGAGCATTAAGTGAAATCATCTAAACAAAAGGACCTTGGTTCGTGGAAGGCAATGAAAAGTCAGAGATACCGAGGACATTAGAGAAGAAACTCAGAACAAATAGATGTTCCTAAGTATTGTCGAAGGCTTTCATGGCTGGAATCACTAAGTTCTTGTGGGTTTTTTTGGGCTATATGGCCATGTTCTAGAGGCATTTCTCCTGAAGTTTCGCCTGCATCTATGGCAAGCATCCTCAGAGGTAGTGAGGTCTGCAGAGTGAGAAGAGGGGGAAAAAACACGAAGCATCACCTAAGGAAGTAAACAAGGAGAGTTGCATTCTGGACTCCAGATTAAAGCAGACCTCCAGACCTCACTACCTCTGAGGATGCTTGCCATAGATGCAGGCGAAACGTCAGGAGAAATGCCTCTAGAACATGGCCCTATAGCCCGAAAAAACCCACAAGAACCTAGATGTTTCTAAACTAGAACTCTGCACACACACACCCCACAACCTCATTCAGGACTCAATCTGATGGTTTGGATCACGTCCCAATCCATTCTGGATCAGTTTAGACCTGCTTTAATCTGGAGTCCAGAATGCAACTCTCCTTGTTTACTTCCTTAGGTGATGCTTTGTGTTTTTTCCCCTCTTCTCACTCTGCATGAAATGTGCAAAGCATGATATTGCCCCAAGAGGGAATTAACTGTGCCAAATTGCAGTCAGGTATTTTTCAGGACTTTCTCCATGAAGCAGTTTAGAGCTGATTATTATTTTTTTAAATAATCTTTTAATTCCTGTTTTTGTGGGGAAATATTTTAGAAACATGTGGATAGGCTAAACTTGCCAAGTCATGAACTTTTGGTCCTTGCGCTGAATTCTCAATAAGTGGTAGTGAAAGTTGAAATAAATGTTTTTTAAAGTACTGTAGTTCTGAAAACACATACATATACACACTTCTTTTAATTTCTCACATGGCAGTGCCTCACAGTCAAATGCCAGTGGTTTTTCCCCCCAAAAGAGAGGAATTAATTGAAATAATAAGAATGAAGAGTGATGTTAGAAAGGTGGTCTTGTCTCAGAAATGCATGGACACTCATAACCTAAACAGCACAAAATCAAATTTAACTTCCAAGAAAAATAAGTAAAAAAAACTCTCAAGCAATCTGTCAAAAATGCACATACACAAGGAACTCAGAACGAGAAAAATGTTTCAAGTTTCTATGTTAACCACAAATAAAAGCACAAACATACACAACTCTCTAATTGTCTCAGTTCCCCTCTAGTCTCTTTCTTGCCTAAATAAATAAAGCAGGAATACAGAATGTTAGAAACATCATATGCAAACACTCTCCATGTATGCCATGATTGGATACGAGAGCTGTCATTCGTACCCTCCCCACCCAACCGGATTGATTCTGCACTGGGGGGAAAGTTCTAGGTAAGGAGGCTATAGTATGGTTAAGACTACCCAATAATGGAGATGGAATGAAGTTTCTTAGTTTCTCTGAAGACAAAGAAGACAAACAGACGAGTATATATTATCTGTCTGTCTCTTTGTGTTTGTATGCCTACAAGTAGCCTGTCAACTGTCGAAGACATTCATGGCCAGAATCAATGGGTTGTTGTAGGTTTTTTGGGCTGTGTGGCCATGTTCTAGAAGCATTCGGAACAAGGCCACACAGTCCGAAAAACCTACAATAACCCAGCTTGTCAACTTATTGTGGTCCTATGAATTTCATAGGAGAGTTCTTAGGCAATAAATATTTAAAGGTGTTTTTGCCATTTTCTTCCTCTGAAAAATAGCCCATGGCATCCTCTAATATACCATGTAGAATATCTATAATCTATCAGTACACAGACAACCTGAAGACACATACACACAAATCCATGTGTTTATCTCTGCAACAGCTTTGAGACTGAAAAAACTAATGGCATGCAATTTAGCATGCATACTAAAGAGACCCTATGGATTTGCACCTGTGTGTTGTTAGGTTTTTTTAAAGAATAATTTATTTTAATATTTTAATTTAATTCTTTTTTTAGTAATCTTTTATTGAATTGGTTATACAATTTGTTAAAAAGAAATATATATAGAAAAATTGGGGAAAATGAGGAATAGGGTAAAATTAGGGTATATGATGGGTGAATAACTGGGAGCGGGGGGGGGGGAGATGGGGGGATGGGACACCAAGAAAAAGAAAAAAGTGGGGATTGTATCATATTCCAATCTCTTTCTTCATGGTTTATTTGTAGTTGTTCTTCTTCAAATGTTATGCTTCTCCTTTTCTTTCTTCATCATTAAGACTATTTTGTTATTTATTCATTTTTATTATTCTTTTAATTTAAATCTTTTTGTAGCCTGCAGGACCATTTTTAGTTATGAGGTCATAGACTACCCTAATAATAAGAAAATAAGCCATTATGTTTGACATTGCCATTTCTCCAAGAGGTGGTTAGGCAATTCCATGTGGGCCAGAGGCATTGTAGAGAAAACAGTATGCTGGCCATAAATGCTGATTTCCTCTATATAGACCTGAATTCTCTAAAGAAGAAAAAGAAGAAAACGGACAGAGAGAAATGGTCTTGCTGCATTGTGAAGATGGGAATTGAACAAAGAGAAAGGTTAGATCAGGGATGGGTTGAGGAGAAAATGAGACCCAGGGAGGCAGAGGGTGGGAGAAAAAAAAAGCAAAAATGCAAAAAAAAAGAAAAGAAAAAAGGACAAGATTCTTATCTAGAATTCGAAGTCTGAAATATTCCAGAATCCAAAACTCTTCTCATGAGTGATTGACATAGTAATACCTTAGTTTTCTGATGCACACAAACTTTGTTTCTCATACAAAATTATAGAAATTAGTTTCATATTTACACTTGGCTCTCATCTAAGAAATTTCATTTTGTATATACAAAACAAAGGTAGAGTGAAAAAGAGCAGATCTTACTTAATGCTATGTTGCATTTCTATCTGTTACTAAAACTAGAAAGGCCGACAACATGCAGTTTGGAAGCACTAAATAGACGCTCATAAAGAAAACTAATTGGAAACTAGCTAGACAGATCTCTCACTTTCAAAGTACAATAGCTGCTAATTATATCAAGACATATTGCATATTTACAAGCTCAAGACAATCTGTTGAGTAGGAAGGTATCGGGTTTCTGCATCTTGCAAACCTGGCTGGCATTCTTCAGAGTCTAGCACCCAGTCCTTCCTCTAAACTTAGAGGCTGTGATATGATGTACCTCTATTCAATATGTAAGTCCAGAATACATGAAGCGTTTACCTTTTAGTCTTAACCTGCTTCGACTCTTTGCCATACTTTCACTTTTCACAATTTCCTTCTCCAAGAATCCCTAGTATCTTACATATTATGAAAGACCCTCTGATTATGGGCACGTAACACTGAATATGCAAAGGCTTTCACCAAGAGAAAGAAAATGTTGGACGAGAATTGTGTGTGCACATGTTGTGTTCATTGCAGAATTTAAAAAGAGGGAGTGCAGAGAGGCTGGAGAGTCAAAGCCTAAAATATTTATTAATAATTTATTCCATTTATATTTCTCCTTCATCTATGGAGCTCTGGGTGATATGCAGGTAGTCCCCAAGTTATGAACAAGATATATGCTGTAGTTTTGGTCTTAATTTGAATTTGTATGTAAGTCAGAACAGGTACATTTTTTACATGTAACTCCAGATATCTGTGTGTGCGCGTGTGCGCTTTAGATAGCATAGGGAAGGGCTAACACCCCTCACTTTCTATCCCACTGATTTTGAAAAATGTGGCTTATTATGGAAACAAGGATTTGTGATAAAGCTTCAGTGGAGACACCTATTTTCCATGATAACTCTTTCAGGAGGGAATTTCCCTTCCTAGGAATAGATTTCTCTCACTTCCTGTTGTTTCGCCCCTGTTTGTAACTATGAGTAAGTTGGATGTTTGTAACTTGGGGACTGCCTGTACACCAAAGAGAGAAGGAGAGAGAACATGAGAGAAACAGAGAGAGAGAGAGACTGGTCAAGTGTACATGGAATTTTATGTCTCAGAAAAGATTTAAACTGGAATCCAACCCATTTAAATCTTTGCTGCTCCCTCTTCCTTATGACAGACTTCAAATATTTAAACATGGCAATCATGTCTCATCTCAACCTTCCCTTCTGCAGGCTAAACATATTCAGCTCTTTAAGCCACTCCTCATAGAGCATGGTCTCCAGATCTTTGATTATTTCAGTCACCCTCCTTGGACACCTTCTAGCTTGTCAATGTTCCTCTTGAATTGTGGGGTCCAGAATTGGATACAGCATTCCAGGTGAGGTCTTAC